CATGGATCGGTTTTCGTAGATCCGTGGTCGGCCGCGAATGCCTTCAGGTCGTCGAGCACACACTTCGGCCAGTTCAGTTCCTGTCCCTTGCTACGTCGCTTCTCCCCCCCTGCCAGTTCGCCGAACATCAGTCGTTTCGGGAGTCGCCCGTCCGGCTGCCTTGCCAATGCTCCCGCGAACAGTAGGCGTCGTTGTCGGATCGTGGCTTCAACGCTCTGACATTCGACCCTCTTCAGCGTCTGGGCGTAAGAGAGCTGCCGGTAGGTGTCTTTCTTGCGCTTGTACCCGATAACTCGAAGGAGCAGTCGGTGGTGTATCGACCGCAGCGTCTGATAGTGGCCGCTGAGTGTTGACCATGTCATGCAACCGTACAGCAGTGCCTCCATCGCCTCCGCCTGGAGCAGGTGGATCTTGAGTCGGAATGGCGCTTGCGGTCTGTCGAAGAGCTCCCGGCCATATCGCCTGAGGCACGCCCACGCTCCTCTGCTCCTGTAGTTGATCTCCCGGGTGAGGTCGCCATGTTCGTTGACGAGGCCACCGAGGTACCGGAACTCGGTCGTCTGGGCGTATTTCTGTCCCGCGGCTTCGATGGTCAGTGGTGGAGGCGGGCTGGGCTGTGATGTTGTAGTCGGCTTGTCCTTTGCGCGCATCAGGAGCGTCTCCGTCTTCTTCTCCGACACCGTTAGCCCGAACTCCCCGAACACCTCAACGATGATGGTCATCATTCTCGCCAGTCCTTCTGCAGACCTCGATACGACGCCGGCATCATCGGCATACAGCATCCCCCATACTGCCCTCCGTACTCGGTGAAGGGGTGTCTCCTCCCCCCCACCCGCTTTCGTCTTTCCCTCCTCCAAGCACACCAGGCTCCGCAGAACAACATCATCCTCGCTGAATCGGATGACAACGACCTCGAGGACCTCGGCGAAGAAGATGTTGAACAGCAGTGGGGATAGCACACATCCTTGTCGCTCGCCCTGTGCCACGAAGAACCAGTCCGATAGTTCGCCGTCGTTCATGCGCACCCGGGCCCGCATTCCATCGTGGAATTGGCGGGTGACTTCGATCAGCTTCGCGGGAATCCCGGCCCTGGCCAGCACCTTCCATAGCATATCTCGGTCCACCGAATCATACGCCTTGTTCAAGTCGACGAAGCACATGTAGAGCGGTATTTTCTTTCTCCGCCCCAGCTCCTGGAGGCGGCGCACGACGAACAGCATGTCGACGGTGGATCGCCCGGGTCGAAATCCGCACTGTTCCTCCGGGAGGATGTTGTTGGCTTCGCAGAAGGCGCTTAGACGGTTGGTGATGATCTTGATGGGGACCTTGCCTACGTGAGATAGTAGCGAAATCCCCCTGTAGTTGTTACAGTGTGTGCGAGCCGAAAACACCGGCACTATAACGGCAACCGGCACTATTCAACCGGCACTAAACAGGAACCTCTACTGTATGTCCAAAGTAATCCACAACGTCACCTCCGAGAGAAATTGGTATTAAGTGGTACTATTTTCCCCACTGAAACTGGTATATTCTCGCTCGCGGTCGCTCTTACCTGGCGACAAAATTTCCAACACATATCCTTCTCGAAAATGGCAAAACAGCAGTACTCGAAATGCCATGGAATTCGATCTATCCTCAGCAGGGACCCGTTTTTAACCCCACGAGATCGAGCCTTCGTCAACCCTTCAGGCCCGAGAACACCCACACAGACCACCACACACCAATTCCAAGAAAAAATGTTATCATACCATCTGCCGTCAAGAACCCCACTTTGCCCCGTGCCGCGCTGCCGTGTTTTGGAAACGACACCCGGCACCAACCCCAAAAAATCCCGGCCCAAACTCTTTACCTGACTTGCCAATACCCGGTTGCTGCGAATGTTACTGAACGAAAGCATTTTGAGGCCGTACTCACCCCAAAGAAAGGCGGCAACGAACCCCGTGACCCCCCTCAACGAGCCATTTGACTGTTGAAATCGGCGCGACCCGACGGTGCACACCGACCCCCAAAAGGACTCCCAACAACTAAATCAATCGCTTCACGCTGTGTTGTGACTCACACCCCAGCTGTATGAAGCTATGAAATCCACCCGAGACACATACATCAACGATCCTTTGACTAAGTTTCTCCCCACGCGTGTCTGATGAATGCGCACTCTCCCAACGCAAGGCTGAAGCTGATATATATATATATATATTTACATATACACAGCACATTGACAAGGACAAACATAGACACAGCACTTGACAAGGACAACAGCACTTTGACATAGACAACACACATTTTCAGCTTTGCTTCCTCGCGGAATATAGGAGAGCAGACCTTTGGCGGTCTTAGGGGAAAAAGAAAAGCCAACGAACCTTGCTGTATTGCCTACCCTGGAACTCCAAAGTTCACCGAAGAATGACCACCATGAGAACGATATCATCGGGTTGAAAAAGAGCTTCAAAAGCTTCCTGCCTGAAATCGGTAAAACCACAACGAATCATTGACCCCCTATCCTAGAAGTAAAACCCGACGACATTCTCTTCAAGGACGCAAACACTCCCGGGCTTCGCACCCGCAATGACCAAGGCAGCAACAAACCAACCAAAAAAATGAACCGAAATTCATTGAGGCGGGGCAGCCCACCAACTTTTCAGCAAAAACCCTCAAGTTTCTACCGAACACAGGTTATTTTTGAGTGGCCTATGCCTTTCCCCCCCATCCTCCCGAAAAAGGACGGCACGTCGCTACCAAGACTCCAGAGCCAAACAGCAACAACCGACACAGCACACCGGAAAAAAAAAAAACATTGTCGGCATCAGAGGGCAACGCCCAAGTGCCACAAATCCGGCACACACACACAACATCCACAGACAAAAAGAAATCGAAGGGCGCCGGCGAGGTCGTTTGAAGTTACGGAAAGCGCCGACGGGGTCGTTTGAAGGTGCTCGAAGCGCCGACGAGGTCGTTTGCAGTCGTACTAAGCGCCGTTTCGCTCTCCCCTTCGACCTTGAAAAACCCTCGAGGTGCCGTTTCGCTCTCCCCACCACCACGAAAATCCCACAAGGCACCGACGTGCTCGCCTCTTCCGCCACAGCAGTTCTCCACTGCAGCGCTCCCGGTCGACCACGACAAGACCTCCTCCACAGCGCACCCCGACCACCACGACAAAACCTCCACCACAGCGCGCCCCTCAGGTCCCGTTCCGCCGGACGCTCCCGGACCGCATGTGCACAAGAAGGCATCATGAGCCAGGCGGACCATCCACTGCCTTACAATATTTCGCCGACGACGGCGACACGTTGACAAGCCGCTCGAGGTCGACGAAATGGACGTTGCACGGGAGGTCCTCCTCCCGCGCCCTCGAAACCTGATGCACCACCCCCAGCTGCCAGCCCTCCTCCGTCGACTGCACGTAAACATGCGCCCCTTTCATCTCCGCCGACAGGAAGGCCGGACCACGCTCCCATGTAGCCAGCAACGCGTAGCCTAGTGGCACATCAAGGGAATTACGGGAGCGAGCTTGCGCGCGGAGCGCGGCAAGCTCATTATAGTCACAGTGCACTCATTGTCGGCACCTACTTACTGTACTGCCCACCCAACACCTGTGCACAATATCACCATACTGCTGGATGCTTGCTTCAGATTCCCAAGCGGGCTGGCGGTCTCCGTGCCAACGCGGGTCGTATTGTACCGCGATGGAACCCCCTGGACCTCTACTGATATGGTGAACGGTGATGGCAATCGGCGGTGCCCGCTGCACTTCAAGCTCTATTTC